TGGAGTTTATTCATCGATGTGAGTTTAACGGAAATTTTCTATCGTGAAGCAGAATTGATTTTACAAGATACATTTCATTCGATCAGTTTAGCACACAACAGAATATAATGAGTTGATTACAGTGATGCTTTTTGTTTTTATGTATTCGAGATGAGCATTCAGGTGAGAGTGAATCTCAGCTGCATCGACACTTGCACCGTTTAATGGAACATAATTATCGAAGTGAAATTCTGCAAGTTTTATGTCGATCAAAGGAATTTCTCGAAGTGATGGATCCCTTAACGATTTGTAAACAACTTTCAATTTTGAGTGATCAGCATCAACGAATATTTCAGTCTATCCAGCAGATAGTTCCTGGGAAAGGTTAGATCATTGCATGGCTATTCATTCATTTCCTCTATTTTCTCGTTCACAAGAAACACTCTTCAGTCGTAAGCAGATTGATCGATCGAACTATTTGATGTTTGAATGTGGCTGAAAACCATATCAAGCATAGAGTTGTTTAGTGAGGAGAATGATTCAGGTGCGCAATTAGCTAACAAACACATCCTTCGATCACTGCCTGAACTTGGCCGTGAAACTTTGTTCGACTTTTTGCATGCAGTCACCGTATGCGGTACTGAAGGGGAACGTCTCGTCGAGCAAATGATTCCAAATTTTCAACAATTGTATCGTACGTTTCTGCTTTGTTCTGTTGAGGTAACCGGGAACCGATGAATAGAATTATTACCATTTTGACAGCTTCGCTTGGTCACTTCTTCATTCAGTACCATATTTTTGTACAAAATGAGTATTATTAATTGATTCTAATTTTATAGTGTTGATTATACAAGATCGTGCTGAGAATCGTCGTCGAGGTATGTTATAGTATATTGTCGTGTTCGTTTTTTTTCCACGAATTTTACTGCATTTTGCAAATTGCACGACTGCAAAATGCGCATTCGTCACACAATTTGGTGACTGTGTTCGAATGCTGTGCGAAATCGGACGAAGCATGTCCGTTCGAGATTGATATCAGTTTGTAGGTATAATTCACGTGCCATGAATTATAAAAAACTGGATTCGAAAAAAAACGAGTGGATTTTAAATCGTTCGCTCCAAATGACACCACTTCAATTGCTGCATTTCCATCGTTGTTGAAAGGATTGACTTATGAATAATATGTGCGTAAACCTGGTTCTCGGTTCTTATGCTTCGTTTAAAATAGGTACCGTGTATTTTGTTGGTGTGAATACGACTGTACGGGATGTGCTCGATTCCTGTGCGAAATCGGGCGAAGCATGTCCGTTCGAGGTTGATATCAGTTACCAGACATTTCCACCGTCTGAGCCACAAAAGATCATTGACGATGTTCTTGAAGACATATATGATGGTTCCTTTTTTTTTCCTTCCATGAATTTGTTTATTTAGTTTCGTTTTTCGCATTTTTGTGCATTTATTCGGTTCTCATCATAATCTTTCGAGGAGACATTGATGAATTCAAATATATGGTTCTTGATTACTCATAGTAATAAATGCAATTTCTAGAGGATGAAATTCCTCTGCGACATTATCAAGAAGAGTTGGCAGAAGCGGCGTATAATGGCCAGAACACAGTAGTGTGTGCACCAACCGGGTCCGGCAAAACTGTCGTAGCTGCATCGGTTATCCGTAAACATTTGTTGCAAGGACTGGTGGCGAAGAAACGAAACAAGGTTTGTGCTGAAATTAGTACTGCTTTCTTGAATGTTTTCGGCACAGTTTAGGTGTAGTCGGAATACTTCCATTCCTGAAACAATATGCATCCACTTTATGGATGTGTGCTGCTGTCCATAATTTTATTAGTTATACATGTGTGAGGGGAAGGTTTCTTCCGGCCAGTACGTTTTAAAATGATTTTGGGAAAGGAAGTAAAAAAGGCCTGTTTGTTTTGTACACTCTTATTGCTCATCATTCAATAATCGTTTGCGAAATGACCGTAAAATGGAATTGTTTTGTGTAGCACAAAATGCTGTAGGCGTTGATAACCAGGGATGTGACATCTTCTTTTGTGTTCCAAAAAAAAGAGGAATTTGTAGTCGTCAGTGCGATGAGCTTTCATTGGTGGGGATGCGTTGAAGTGATAGCAAATTATTCAGGTGTGTTTTCTCGTATCGAACACAACCTTTCTGGAACAACAAGCTGAGTTGTTGAGGCGATTCCTCAGAAAGAGATTCAAAATCATTGCACTCAGTGGTGCCACATCTGCCGAAGCACCGCGTCTGTTAACGATAGTGGATAATGACGTTGTTGTGATAACGCCACAACTGATTGTGTTAGTTCTTGCTTTCTTTTCGCTTCAATTTATTTAGATTGGTTGATGTTTGACTAATCTGTTTGACTTTTCGCCTTCTTTGTTCTGCTTACTTCCAGTGAATATGTGAATAAAGTTATGACAGTTCTGTCTGCAAAACGTCCGCTGTTTTGTTTATTCTAAACAGTCAACAATGACAGTCTCCATTCGTGCTGTTCTTATCACCTTTAATCAATTTATGGAAGTGTTGCTTGAGTGACATGACTTTTTGTTGAGCTGATCAACGTTGAACGCTATTGAATGGGTTGCATAAATGTCTTTAATGAATTCATTTTGAAAAATTATATCGCATATTCCGGCATCAATTTTGTTTATTGGTTTTCTTCTTCAGTCCATTAACAAAGCCTACTTGTTTCCTTCAGGAACCTGATCAAAGCACAGAATACCGAAGAGGATTGCGTAAGATTTTCACTGACAATGTTCTCATTGCTCATTTTTGATGAGGCACATCATACTTCTGAAAGTCATCCTTACAATGGTTCGTTGTCAATATACCATCACAATGTTGTTTCTGAAAAACTGTTCATCGGGATCGCATCTAAAGTAAAGTCTGATCAGTGGATTCATGGTTTCGTCTAGGCGAACGGTTCCAGAAACGAGCTGTGATCTAAGCTGGTTCTTTTTGTTTCGTTTATAAAGACAAATTGTTACAGTTGTTCAGAATCATGTGATTTCAGAGATAATGCTCACTTATCATGATATGAAAAGAACTGGAGCTTATTCGAAGTCGGAACCCTTGCCTCAGGTATAGCTCTTTTTCGTGTTCCTTTCTCTTCAGTATTGTTGTGGATGAAAAATTTCGCGATCTTCCCTTGATACAAAAAACAATGCAATTGTTTTGCTGAAGAGTGTATATGCAGGTGAAAAAAAGAAGTTGCATTCCGGATTCTAGGCATAAGACTCTCCGAGAGAATGACTTTTCCATTGTTGCGCTCATAACCACAATGA